CCACCAGCCACTCCTTGGAAGGAAGGTTGGGCAATCTCCTTCCGTAGTGATACTGCCTCGAAAACCCAAGGAAGGGTCACTATAAGTCGGGCCCGGCCCAACGGCACATAACAACAACAACAACAACAATTAAATAGATATTGAATAATTTCACAAAGTACACTAATACTTCAGTTCTTGATGGGAATGAATGCCAAATTAAACTATATGTTCTAAATGGTAGAAGTAATTGTTCCTACATTTCCTAAAGTGCACATTTCTTGAGTAGGTCCTGGCACCATGGGGTATTGGTAAGGTTAATTTTGCTTTTGGAATGTTTCTTTGTAGCTGAAACCTTGGTCATGAGAAATTACAGATCCTCTCAGTGGCTGATAGTGTTTTGTCTTGTGATTTGCGGTATTAAGCTGTTTTGTCTGATATTGTTGAACTTACTTCCTAAGGAAAAAACAACAGAAGAAGAAAATCCAGAGCATGTAGAAATTCAGAAGATGATGGATTCTCTCTTCTTAAAATTGGATGCCCTTTCAAACTTTCATTTTATACCTAAACCCGTAAGTATGCTAATATGTAACATACAACTGATAAGTACATAGAGCAGGTGTGACTGTAAGTCCCCTGAGCTTTTGTGGCACTTGCTCACTCTATTTGGTTTCAGGTTATAGACCTGCAGTAGTTTCCTGTCAGTTCCAAACAGTACCTCCTATGGAGAAGGGCTTTTGTCTAGTCATTCTCCTACCTACTGACCCAACCTGATCTCCAGTCAGCCCTTCCAATACCTCAGCTTTAACCAGCAGGGCTCCTCATTTCCTTACCTTCTCTCTTTATTCAATTGTCTGCTGCATTTTCATTGTGAGATGGTTTTGGAGGTGCATGTGGGTGTCTATTCCTACCATTTATTGAGCACCTGCTATATGCTAGGCACTGTGTATTAGATCCTTACATACATTAACTCTTTTTTCTTTTTTTTAAATTGTGACTTGGGTGAGTTTACAGAGCGAATTCACTTTCAATACAGCAGTTCACATACACTTTGTCTCATGACATTGACTACAGTTACCATAGTGTAACAACTTCGCTCTCACTTCCTCCATATAGTTACCTGTTCCCTGTGTTCTTCCCTCCACGCTCCTTCCACGCATTCCTGCCCCCTGAGCTATCTCCCTGTGCATACACAGCCCTTCTATTCTCCCATGATAGTTCTTTGCAAGGAGTATATCTACCTAGTGTAAATGTTTACCTCATATGCCTATTTTTTGTTTGGCTGGAAGCCACAGGTGTGGGTTCAATTCCAGAGCTGAAGGGCAGCTAGGGGCCATAGTCTCAGTGGTTCCATCAGGGTCTGTCAGACCAGCAAACTTGGTCCCTTTTTTTTTCCCAAATCATTTTGAGTTTTGTTCTACGTTGTTCTCCCACTCTATCCAGGATCTCTTACAGAGATCCCCCTCCTAGTGGTTGACAGTGGTAGCCAGGCACCATATAGTTCTTCTGGTTTCATAGTCATATAGGCTGAGGACATGGTGTATCAGTCGCTTAGACTAATTGTTTCCATGAATCTTTGATTTTCTTCATTCTTCTTTGCTCTGGATGAGGAGAGACCCATCATTGCATCTTGATGGCTGCTTGCAAGCTTTTAAGATCCCAGTAGCTACTCACCAAAGTAGGAGGTGGAACAATGTTTTGTGTAGTATTTTATGCTAGTTGAGCTTGATGTCCCCTGTGACTATGGTCCCAAGCCCGCAGGTTCAACTACTTGGTCCTTCTGGATGGATGGCTGTGACTGAGAAGTGACTACAGCCTTGTCCCTTGTCAGCTCTACTGTACACCTGGGAATTCTTACAAAACATAGCAGTGCACTTGTGGAAACAATTGTCTGCCAACCCTAAACATGGTCTTGGGCACATTCCCCCTTGCATAGACATACCTAATAGTTCAACCTGTCTACCCATCTATCCACCTGTATACATACATTAACTCTTTTTTTTTTAGATTTCATATTTATTTATTTATTTTTTAATTGTGATTTGGGTGAAGGTTTACAGAGCAAATTTACTTTCCGTACAGCGGTTCACATATACTTTGTCTCATGACATTGACCATAGTTAACCACAATGCAACAGCTCCCCTCCTGCTTCCTTCCCATAGTTACCTCTTCCCTGTGCCCATCCCTCCATGCATTACTGCCCCCTAAGCTGTCTCCCTGTGCATAAAGCAGCCCTTCTTTTTCCCGTGATTGTTCTCTCTAAGGAGTGTATCTATTTGAGGTAAATGTTCAACTCATATGCCTGTCTTTTGTTTGGCTGGAAACCACAGGTGTGGGTTCAATTCCAGACCTGAAGAGCAGCTGGGGCCAGAGTCTCAGGGTTCCACCAGGCTCTATCAGACCAGCAAACCTGGTCCCCCCTTTTCTTTTTCTCCAGATGATTTTGAGTTTTGTTCCACATTGTTCTCCCTCTCTATCAAGGATCTCCTACATAGATCCCCTTCCAAGTAGATGGCAGTGGTAGCCGGGCACCATCTAGTTCTTCTGGTCTCATGGTCGTATAGGCTGCAGATCAGATGGTGTACCAGTTGCTAGGACTAATTGTTTCCATGCATTTTGGTTTTCTTCATTCGTCTTTGCTCTGGATGAGGAGAGACCCATCGTTGCATCTAGGTGGCAGCTTGCTAGCTTTTAAGATCCCAGTTGCTACTTGCCAAAGAGGAGGTGGAACAATGTTTTGTATAGTATGTTAAGCCAATTGAGCTTGATGTCTCCTGCGACTATGGTCCCAAGCCTGCAGGTTCAACTACTCAGTCCCTCTGGGTAGGTGGCTGTGACCAAGCAGTGACCACAACCTTGCCCTTTGTCAGCTCTACTATACACCTGGGAAT